CTTCAAATACCATCACCCTGGGGATCAGGTTTCAATTTATGAATTTTATTTTATTTTTTTTAAAGATTTTATTTATTTAATTGAGAGAGAGAGAATGAGAGACAGAGCACGAGAGGGAAGAGGGTCAGAGGGAGAAGCAGACCCCCGCTGAGCATGGAGCCCAATGTGGGACTCGATCCCGGGACTCCAGGATCATGACCTGAGCTGAAGGCAGTCGCTTAACCAACTGAGCCACCCAGGCACCCCAAATTTATGAATTTTAAAGGGACACAAACATTTAGTCCCCAGCATTGCCCCTACTCCTCCTAGGACTCCATTTAGATACATGTTTGAATACTTGTTATATTCCACAAGCCACTGAGGCTCTGTTCATTTTTTAGTGTTTTTACTTTCTGTACCTCTAAGTTTCAGTAATTCTAATGCTATGGCTTTAAGTTCACTGATAATTTCTTCTGTAATATCTTATCTACTTTTTTAATTTAAATTTTAGTTAGTGGACATACAGTGCAATATTGGTTTCTGGAGTAGAATTCAGTGATTCATCACTTACATACAACACCCAGTGCTCATCACAACAAGTGCCCTCTTTAATGATTAATCTACTTTGAATCCCATCCAGTTAATTTTTCATTTTAGATCCATTTTTTCAGTTCTAAAAGTTACTTTTTTCTTTGCATCTTCCCTTTCTCTTCTGTTTGTGTTCATGCTGTCTTTAAATTCTAGACCATATTTATAATAGCTTTTTAATAGTCCTGTCTTCTAATTCCATCCTCCATTGTCATTTCCAGATGTTTTTTCTTGAGTGACTTTTCTCCAGTTGTGACTGACATTTTCATGGCACTTGTTTGCTATTCCCCTCCCTGCATTGTGGTCTGGAAAGTGCCTTCAGGCAGAAAGCTGGAATAATTAGAGATCTTACCTTGTTTGTTTTCTTTCTCTTAGGGTCCACAGTCCTGTGCACCTCTAGTGTCTGAAAAAGTTGTTTCACATATTTTATCTGGCTTTCTGGTGTGTGTGTGTGTGTACGTGTGTGCGCGTGTGATGATTCTTGTTTTGGTTAATACATCATGGCCCATTATATTATTTTTAAATATAATTTTCCCTTTTTTCCTATTTTCTGATTCTTGTACTCTTACTTGTCATATGTTGGATCTCCTGAATTAATTCTCTACATTTCTTTTTTACTTGCTTATTTTCCATTTTTTCTCTTTTGTTGTTTCTTGGAGACATAAAGTTTTATCATTTAAGGTTTGTATTGAATATTTAATTTCTTCTATCCTCTTTTAAATTTTGTGATTTTTGAACCACAGTCTCTCTGGTTCAACTTATTCACAAATTAAACCTGTCCCCAGTAACTTTATTTTTTAAGGTATTCTATCTAGGTAATCTTTTTAATTTTTTCTTCATTCATCTCATCTTATTTGGAGTCTAGCATTTTTGTCCTGTTATATATTGAAGTTTCAGGTATGGAGAAGTATTTCATGAAAAACCTGAAGTTTTTCAAGCCATAACATGGAAAGAAACTCCTAAGAGGTTCATGTGGCTTTGGTTAGAAAAAAGTGCAAAGCCCTGTTAAAGCACTCCATTTCTGAAATATGCAAAAAAAATGATACTTGACCAGATATAATCTCACTATTGCCAAATCCAGTGGATTTCTGTCAACGTGTTATCTGCCCTCATGTCAGCCTCTCAACAGCATCAAATGCAAGGAGCCATTCCCTCTTTCTTGAAGCTTCTTTTTCTTATCTTCTCATCATTGACATCTCCTAGTGCCTTCTCATCTAAATGATCTCTAAATATTGGAGTGTTTCTGGCCTTATCTATTCTCTATCCCTACTGTCTTTCACCCAGAGTCACAGCTTTAAATATCCTGTTAATACTGTTGATTCTAAAACTTTCCTGTCTTCTCCTGTCAATTTCAGTGTCCAATAGGCATTTCAATAGAAGGAATTCTTTTATTCCTTCCCTTGTATTTACCAACTTCTAAAGGCTACCATGGTCTCCCCAGATCCTCACACAAAAAACAAGAATTCATCCTTGATTCTTCTCTTTCCTTTATTCTTGTGCATCCTACTCAATAAGTCCCATAGGTTCAATAAAAAAACATACCTCCAATCCATCCACTCCTTTTCATCTCCAAGCAACCATCTTTTCTTAACCTTTGCAGTAGTCTCCCAACTGATCTCTTTGCTGTTATTCTTGCAACCCATTCTTTTTATTTTTATTTTTTTAAAAGATTTTATTTATTTGTTTGAGAGAGAGAGTGAGCAAGTGAGAGAGCACGAGCAAGGGGAGAAGCAGGCTCCCTCCTGAGCAGGAAGCCTGATGCAGGACTTGATCCCAGGACCCTGGGATCAGGGCCTGAGCCGAAGGCAGACGCTCAACCAACTGAGCCACCCAGGCGCCTCTCATTCAACAATTATTTATTGAGTATTTATAATGTGTTAGAGACCGAGCTAGGCAGTGGGGTCCCTATCACAGTAAATTGGTCTCTTTTTTGTTCCTAGGATACTTAGAATCTTTAAATCTGCTGTTCCCTATGCTTGGCATGTTCTTTTCTTAGCTCTTTGCACAGATTTGTTCTTTATCATTCTTCAGATCTCAGCATAAATGTCATTCCCTCAGAGGCCTTTTTTGATAATCTGATTTAAAATATCTACTGACCCCTTTTCTGTTATGTCATCCTATTTAATTTCTTCATAGCCTTTTTCATAATCTCTGCTTATTTATTTTCTGACTGTTTCCTCCTCTGTCTCGTTTTAATGTAAGCTCTTTGAGGGTAGAGACCCTGTCTGTCTTGATCATGGTATCCTCAGTGCCTAGAACTTTTTCTGAAGGTCTAGAGCAGTGCCTAGATCATAAATATCATAAATATTTTTAGTAGATTAACTTGATTGGGATGGGTTCAGGAAAAACTACACAGAGGAGGTAACATTGAGTTCAGTCTTAAAAAATAAGGGTTTGTTTATTTAGACATTTATAATTGGGCTGAATAATCAATAATAATAAAAGTATTTATTTTGGTTACACATTTATCCTGATTATGCAACATTAACATAGCCTAAGAATCACTGTGGGTGAAGTAGCTTGGTCTTAATGTCATTCAGAAAAACTTCCTTTGGGATCATTTGGAGGCTAGCATTTTTGTCCTGTTATCAAACTTTGATTTTCTGTTCAGAGTTAAAAGCATAATAGAGGGGCTTCTGGGTGGCTCAGTTGGTTAAGCATCCAACCCTTGATTTTGGCTCAGGTCATGATCTCAGGGTTGTGAGATCAAGCCCCACATTGGGCTCCAGCTCAGTGCTGCATCTTCTTGAGCTTCTCTCTCTCCCCTTTCCTGTGCCCCTCCTCCCTCTCACCTGTGCTCCAGCTCTCTTTCAATAAATAAATAAAATCTTTTAAAAAAAGCATAATAGAATAAGGCTTTAAGAATGACAATAACTGAAATGAATCTTGGTAGTTATAATTAACAACTAATCAGATCATTTAAAATATATTCACCACTCATTACCAGGCATTGTGTGTACAAAAACATTTTGGAAAAATACTTATACTGCACTTAAGATTGATGCCAATTTGGGAGACTGGAATTGTCCACTTTTCTCTCCCCAGGAAAAGTGAGCTTCTGTGCTTGGCCACTCTGTTCCCATTTTCCATGTGGTGAATTGGGAATGTAATACACAGCACAAGTCTTCTCTACTTAACAAAAACTTAGACACCAGGCTTTGTCACTTTGATTAGGATCATATGCATGTATAGTGTATTTCATATAAGGCTGTCGATCTATCACAAAATCATATTATTCATACAAATACTGCAAAATCATAGGAGAATTAAATAATTCTCATGAATACAAAATGCCCAGTGGGGGAAAAATCTAGAAGAGCAGTCTAAAACTTAAAATATTTTTGAATGCAGAATTTATCCCATGAACTTCTTATATCCTTCATGTTGTAAGTTGCAACAATTAATCGAGTCATGCTTCCTTATTGGTCTTTTTATTTTAAACATCCATCCTGATTGTTCAGTGGCATTTTGGGTATTTTGGGGACTTCTTTTGTAGTTTAATACATGTAATAGTTTGTAATTGTCTACTGCTTATAGTAGTTATGGGACTAACTAGGTACTAGATCTGAATTTGGAAACAAGTCAGGGGAAGCTTTTTAAGGTCAGTGGATAGGAAGTAGTTTTGAAAACAAGAGCTCTGTTTATGGGGAAAAGAAGCCCTTCGTTGCTCCTGTGTCTCCAGGTAAAGAAATTATAGCACAGCCAACCCCCATTGCCATACCAGAAACTGTGAGGTCATGGCAGTGGCTCAGCTTACAGATGACTCTTTCCAGGATGCCTTCTCTAGCCACAGGCTGAGTTAGTGCCACCACAATACTTATGGAAACAGAATCACATTGTAGTCCTGTTACTTGCTGACTGTAGGACTGTACCCTTCCTTCCCCTATCTACACAGAATAGTACACTGTCTGACAGACATGTTGGTACTCAGTACATATTTGAATGAATAAATAATTGAATGAATACAATATGATATGACATAACATGCCATGAATACAGCTAGTGCAAATTAGAGTAAGTTCAAGATCCAGATACTTGCCCAAGGAGGAGCAGCCAGGAGAGAGCTCAGGTCTAATCACAGTTACTAGAAATTCATTCATTGGGAGATCAGAATTAAGTTGTAAGAAATCTAGTCTCTAGAGGGAAACATTTGATGGAAAAATAATACAGAGAGGAAAAGCACATATTTCCCTCTCAGAGAAACCTCTTTCTGTTGGTGAGGGGTGGAGGTATTGGGGTATGGAAGAGAAAACCAGGTAAAAGGGCAGAGTTATGCAAATAAATATAGTAAGAAGTAGAGACTCATATGCTAGTTTTAGAGTTAATCCAGAATAGTTTTTAAAGTAATAAATTTTATATGTATTTAGAAAAATAAGTACTTTTTAATCACAATTTCATGTAAGTACTTTAAAAATAATTTTTCTTTACACTACCTTCACATGCAGAAGTTGGTTGTCAACTGCTATGAGCTGATTAAGATTCTCCAGTATTTGTAGGTCTTTTATGTCATCAATATTGTTATTGCTGATATTCAATATAGAGAGGGATTTCTGTAAGAAAAATAGATTAGCATTAGTAAATAGTCTAATTAAATGCTGTATATAGGAACCAGAAATCTTAATCTATGAAAAATTTAAGATTTATCAGTTCAGGCTGTTTTGCTCTTTAGGCAAGAAAATTAAAAGCCATGGAGATTTTGTTTTTATACTATATTTTTTTCAGATACAACTTTAAGGACTTTAGTAATTGTGATATGACTTATTATTTTTGTCTAAATTTCCTTCATAAGTCTGATTTTCCTCTTCTAGAATATAAAAGAAATTTATAGAAAAAAGAAGCCAGGAATCAAGAAGCAAAGAAAGAGAAAAGATGCCCCCATAAACGATAACACAGTGTAGAAAAATGCTTATTTCAGTTTAAGGAAATTATCATTTTGTGTTAACTATCACTAAGATTTATACTTACATAGGAAGAAATAGTTTTTGTCTGTTTTCCTAAATAGGAAAAATGACTAAAAGATTATCTGGTTTAATTTTTTTAAAAGATTATTTATTTATTTATTCATAAGAGAGAGAGAGAGGCAGAGGGAGAAGCAGGCTCCCCGCTGAGCAGGGAGCCCGATGTGGGACTCGATCCCAGGACCCTGGGATCATGACCTGAGCCGAAGGCAGACGCTTAACCATCTGAGCCACCCAGGCACCCTATCTAGTTTAATTTTTATCTTTATCTCTCTCTATTTTCTCTAAGTTTTCTCTTGACAATCCATATGTTCAGAAGGCACTTAAAATAATGATTAGCTAATTAACAAGCAGTATCAACATCAGCTGTTAGGACATAAATACACAATAGAGCAACACTAAACCAAAGCCATCTTAAAATCTATGGCCTAATAATCTCTACCAAGATTGAGTCGACCCACCAAGGCATCCATAACCAACCTTTAGAGAAAATACTTCTTGATACTTTTTAAGAATTTAAATACAACTTAAAAAATTATGCCTTATATTTAGAATTTTGGAATCTGCTTGAATCTATGCAAAAATTGAGCAAGCAAAGATGTTTGTATTGGCGTTTGTAATAAAACTGGCCATCCCCACAGAGGGATCAATTTATTTGGGTCGGTTGAGGTGAGCTGAGACACATTTGATTCTATGGGGAGGATAGGGAGAGGGTAGGATAGAAATCAGATCACTTCTTTCTTTTCCAATTTAAAGGACTGTTTTTCAATTTTTATAACTTTGGTTCACAAACCTTCTATTGCCCTCTGTTTCTGAGCACTGTAAAATAAAGCCAATGAAATCTATAAACACACAACCTGTTCCCTTTACGTCTCTTGCCCCAGAATTGAAGATAGCGTATCCTAATAAATCCCATTTTGAGAATTAGCAAAAGCCTCCACTGAACCCTCTGGCTTCTCAACTAATTGTGACACCTTCACAATGTAACTGGGTGTCAAGTCACAGTGGGAGCATCAAATCTAGTGCTTCCAGATCTACTTGCTTCTGATGAGGCAGAGCTGATGTAGTGCAACCTACAATCAAATCAGAATCCATCAAGGGGCGCCTGGGTGGCTCAGTCGTTGAGTGTCTGCCTTCGGCTCGGGTCATGATCCCAGGGGCCTGGGGTCGAGCCCCGCATCGGGCTCCCTGCTCAGCGGGAGGCCTGCTTCTCCCTCTGCCACTCCCCCTGCTTGTGTTCCCTCTCTTGCTGTCTCTCTGTCAAAAAATAAATTAAAAAACATCTTAAAAAAAAAAAAATCAATCCATCAAGAAAACAATCATCATCATCATGATTCTCTAGGTTGTTTAAAATTTGCCAAATAATTGTGCATGACTCTTTCCTTAGGCTTTTTCCTAATATTATAAATTTTGAATCATAATAATAACCAAGGCTGAAATAATGAATGAATTGACATCTGGATTAGAACCTAATAATTTACATAACCATTCCACATCCTTCTTTTGATCCTTTCAGTACCGTAGAGGCAGGCATTATTATTCCCACTTTATAGCTGCTGAGTCTCTGAGAAATTATATGAGAAAAGTTAGTTTTAATCCTCAAATAAATTCTCAACTGTTTGGAACCAGAAAAGACCCCGAATAGCCAGAGGAATTATGGAAAAGAAAACCAAACTGGTGGCATCACAATCCTGGAATTCAAGCTATACTACAAAGCTGAATCATCAAGATGGTAATGGGTACTGGCACAAAAACAGACACATAGATCAATGGAACAGAATAGAGAACCCAGAAATGGACCCTCAACTCTATGGTCAACTAATCTTCGACAAAGCAGGAAAGAATATCCAATGGAAAAAGGACAGTCACTTCAATAAATGGTGCTGGGAAACTTGGACAGCCATATGTAGAAGAATGAAACTGGACAATTTTCTTACACCATACATAAAAATAGACTCAAAATGGATGAAAAACCTAAATGTGAAACAGGAATCCATCAAGATCCTAGAAGAGAACACAGACAGCAACCTCTGTGACTTTGGCTGCAGCAACTTCTTGCTAGACACATCTCAAAGGCAAGGGAAACAAAAGCAAAAATAAACTATTGGGACTTCATCAAGATAAGAGACTTTTGCACAGCAATGGAAACAGTCAACAAAACTAAAAGGCAACCTACAGAATGGGAGAAGATATTTGCAAATAACATATCAGATAAAGGGCTAGTATCCAAGATCTATAAAGAACTTTTCAAATTCAACACCCAAAGAACAAATAATCCAATCAAGAAATGGGCAGAAGACATGAACAGACATATCTCCAAAGAAGACATACAAATGGCCAACAGACACATGAAAAAAATGCTCCATATCACTCGGCATTAGGGAAATACAAATCCAAACCACATTGGGATATCACCTCACACCAGTCAGAATGGCTAAAATTAGCCACTCAGGAAACAACAAATATTGATGAAGATGCAGAGAAAGGGGAACCCTCTTACACTGTTGGTGGGAATGCAAGCTAGTGCAGCCACTCTGGAAAACAGTATGGAGTTTACTTAGAAGTTAAAAATAGAGCTACCCTATGGCCCAGTGATTGCACTACTAGGGATTTATCCCAAAGATACAAATGTAGTGACCCCAATGTTCATAGTAGCAATGTCCACAATAGCCAAACTGTGGAAAGAGCCCAGATGTCCATTGACAGATGAATGGATAAAGATGTGATATATATATATACAATGGAATATTACTCAGCCATTGGAAAGGACAAATATTTACCATTTACATTGACATGGATGGAACTGGAGGGCATTATGCTGAGCAAAATAAGTCAGTGAGTGAAAGACAATTATTATATGGTTTCACTCATATGTGGAATATAAGAAACAGCATAGAGGATCATAGGGGAAGGGAGGGAAAGCTGAATGGGAAGTCATCAGAGAAGGAGAAAAACCATGAGAGACTGTTAACTATAGGAAACAAACTGAGGGTTGCTGGAGGGAAGAAGGGTGGGGGTGTGGGGTAATTGGGTGATGGGCATCAAGGAGGCACATGATGTGATGGGCACTGGGTGTTATATGCAACTGATAAATTATTGAATACCACATCTGAGACTAATGTACTATATGTTGGCTAATTGAGTTTAAATTTAAAAATTCTCAACTGGCCATATAAACATAGAGTATACATAATGTCCAAATATACCTTTGCTACCTTCCTGTCCATTATAACTGTTAATAACTGTATTCTTTGTCAGAATACTCAAATGTGGCCTTACTGCCAGAGAATGAAGAGTTCTTGGATCAAACAGAAGCTTTTCTCCAAGTGGAAGCCTCTGACTCTCAACATGAAGCTCTCTTAGTCCTTCTAATCCTTCTAAACCTTCTATGACAGCAATGTGATTGCCTCCCAGATACCTGCAAAATATAAAACAATTTTAAATAGACATTCTGAGAACATCATGGTCCGTAAACATGATAAAAACATAACAATCACTGAGCTGAGTGAAAATTACATATGTAGAAATATGCAGAATCATCTTTGTAATGAATCAATGAAAGGTTTATTTATATGATTCTTACACTTAATTTAGTCTAAGAAGTTTATTTTTTTTAAAGTGAGAGAATTGGAATAGTCCTTATTAAATGATCTACCAGTATTCTTTTTATATGTTAGGGTGAAAAATCATCTGGGTAGGTTTTTTTTTTTTAAGAATTTATTAATTTATTTGAGAGAGAGTGAAAGAGCATGAGGAGGGTGGAGGGAGAAGGAGAGACAGACTCAGGAGACCAACACAGGGCTCCGTCCCAGGTCCCTGAGATGATGACCTGAGCTGAAGGCAGATGCTGAACCGACTGAGCCACCCAGGCACCCTCTGGGTATTAGGTTTAAAAATGGAAGATTTTTGGCCCTAACACCAGAGATTCTCATTTGGCTATCTAGGTCAGAACCCAGCAATCTGCATTTTCAATCAGCATTTTCTACCCCACTCTCTTCCCATTCTGAGGTTCTTAGCCCACTTTTTGAGAAGCACTAATAATTCTTCCAGTCTGGGAAAGTTGAATACACCAGTCTTCACTGTTGAGTTAAAATCATTATAGGCAGTAAATGCCTTTTTACAATCAAATCAACAGTATCAACTCTATAACCCTGCCCCTTTGAGATGTGTGATTCTGAAAGGAGAGCTCATCTGGTTTCCATGGAAACTTTTATCACCAGTTGAGTCTTTAAGGATGCTTTAGGCATCCTTATAAGTGGTTAAGACAACTCACCCACCTGCAAAAGAAATGTATATCAGGCTTAATGAAACAAATTGCCAAGTATTACATGTATAACAGTTTTTTTTGTACTAATAATACTACAGGAGAATAAAAATTGAGGTCTGTTCCACAAAACTGCAGATAATGGAAAGGCCCATATGCAAAAATATTACTGTAATGATGACAAAGAATTACATTATTTAAAAATAAAAGCACTTACAGTTTTTCCAGTTTCTTTAATGACCTGAGGTTCTCTATACATGAAATACAGTTGTTTTGTAGATATAAATGGGTCAGATTTGTAGCATAATTGAAGTTAGTCATTTGACTAATACGGTTATCATACAAATATAAAACACTAAGATTTTTGCAAGGAGAGAGGTCTTCCTAAAAGGAAAACAAAAACAGGTCATACTTAATTTCTCCTGAAAATTTAGAAGTTTGTTTTGAGAAAGTTTTTCACTTAATCATTCTGCAATTTCCTCTAAGTTTAATATAAAAGAACAGTATTTCTCTGTTCTTAGCACAGTCAAAATGAGTCTCGAATGATTGTAAAATTAGTTCTAGGTTTTAGTATTCTGTAACTATATCAATAAGCAGTTTTCCTTGGAAGCAATTAGGTTCCTCTGGAAGTTGAAGCATTTAACAAGTTATCGCTTCAACATTATAAATCGGGGTTTTTTTTTTTTAAGATTTTATTTATTTGAGAGAGAGTGAGAGCAAGAGAGAGAGAGCAGCGCAGTGGGGGAGTAGGGGTGGAGGGAGAGGCAGAAGCAGATGCCCTGCTGAGCGGGGAGCCCAAAGCGGGGCTCAGTCCCAGGACCCTGAGATCATGACCTGACCCTGAGGCAGACACTTAACCAATTGAGCCACCCAGGCGCCCCTATAAATCAGGTCTTAATCTTTCTGTAGGATTAGAAGTAAACTTGTTTATGATCCTGAAAATGGGAAGTCATATAGGTATTCAAGAGCAATAGATTAATAAACTATGATAATGCTATTGAAGGGAATACTGTTTAACCATTAGATATCCATTAGTTTCTTTAGTAATATTTTGTAGATCTCAAAATGAAAACAGTACATTCAATATGACCCACTATTGTAAAATTATATGAATACATGCCTAGAAAAAAGACTGGAAGGATATCACCTACATGTTAATAGCAGTTTTCTCTGCATGATGGGATTATGCCAGTTTCTTTTTATATGTATTTCATAGAAATGCACACCAGTTACTTGTTTTTTTTCTGACTGAGAAATTTTTATTGATAAGTAACTGTTAGGAACATTCATTCCTCACGTCTGTTGTCAACTATAATCTACAAAAGCAAATTATACTTAAATTATAATGTTCAACAAAGTGGATTAAACAAACAAAAAAGGCAGCCACCAATGAACTAAGCACAATGTGTTTTCTCACACCAGTTACTTTTGAGATAAGAAAATAATTAAAGGTATTTTTTAAAGTTTGCCATTTCTTATGTGGTGGTAGAGTCAGCTAGAGTAAGTAGGCAAGAGGTAAAGTTATGCTCAAAAGCACCTCAGGTTGGGGTACCTGGCTGGCTCAGTTGGTGGAGCCTGAAACTTTTGGTCTTGGGGTTTAAGTTTGAGCCCCACATTGGGCATAGAGATTATTTAAAAAAAATAAAATCTTAAAAAAAACTCAGCTTTTTTTTAACAAGATTTTAAAAAACATAACCACATCTTGGGAATTTTAAGTTTACAAGGTGTTCTTAGTGTGAATTTTTTTTTTTTTTTTTTTTTTTTTGAGAGAGAGCACGGGTGGGGGGAAGGACAAAGGGAAGGGAAGAGAGAGAATCCCAAGCAGGCTCCATGCCCAGTGCAGAGCCTGATGTGGGGCCTGATCTCATGACCCTGAGATGATGACCTGAGCCAAAATCCAAGAGTGAGACACTTAACCAACTGAGCCACCCAGCCACCCAGGTGCCCAACTGAATTATACTTGGCCCTTGAACAACATGGATTTGAACTGCATGGGTCCACTTATACATGGATTCTTTTTCTGTAAATACTGTATAATACTGTAATGTATTTCATCTTCCTTATGATTTTCTTAATAACATTTTCTTTTCTCTGGCTTACTTTATTGTAAGAATACAGTATATAATACATATAACATACAGAATATATGTTAATTGACTTTATGTTATCAAGAGTTCTGGTCAACAATAGACCATTGGTAGTTAAGTTTTTTAGGAATCAAAAGTTATACAAGGATATTCAATTGTGTTGGGTGGTAAGATGTTGGGGAGTGGGGGGGTGTTGGTGTCCCTAACTCCTGTATTGATCTAGGGTTAACTGTACTTTAACTAGTTTGCTTTCCTCCTAAAAAAGATCATCTAAACCAAAGGAGCACTGATTGTGAGGGGACAGAAGAACATTAAATGGAGGCTCTCTGCAGAGGGCAAATCTGTAATGATATGATGAGGTAGAGAGTTTTCTGGGCAATTGGATTCATGGGGAGAAGAATCACTAAGAAACTGGAAAGAAGGGATGCTAGGTGGCTCAGTTGGTTAAGCATCTGCCTTTGGCTCAGGTAACGATCCCAGAGTCCTGGAATCAAGTCCCACACATAAGGCTCCTTGCTCAGCAGGGAGCCTGCTTCTCCCTCTGCCTACCGCTCCCCCTGCTTGTGTGCTCTCTCTTTCTTTCTCACAAATAAAATAAAATATAATTAAAAAAAAAAGAAACTGGAAAGAAATACAGAATAGGAACTTGGTAGGGTCTTTGCAAAAAAAAGAAAAATATCTTAATTGACAATTGTGCCTGGGGCTTTGGTATTTTTTTCATTCATTTTGATAAACATTTATTAAGCACTTAATATGGGTTAGGTGCCGTGTTGGATGGGGGGATTTAGAGTGATGTGAACAAAACAGACATCATCCCTGCCCTCATGTACCTTATATTTCTGAGGAAATTTCTCTCATTAGCATTTTATTGTAGACAATGGACACCAATCCAAATGGCCTAAAGGGGTTATTCCTCCTTTTAAAGTTTCCCGAATTAAAGCCAAGAATTAGCTTAACACAGAGAAAATATAGTGTCAGAGTATATCCAAACAAACATAATCTTGTCTGATATAAATTATAGTATAACTTCCATTTATATAACCAGTTAAATTATGAGTGAAAAAGATTTCACTGTTGAAGTTTTGAAACAAGGTATTTGCATAGTTAAATCTTGCTATCTTGTTAAAAAAAACCTCATATTCCAAAGACCTGGAATTATACAAAAGTATTATCTTTGAAATTATTTTCCAACATACACTTTCAAATCTAGTTTGCTACACTATAGAATATTTCAGGGGGACATATATATTTAGCACATATATTTAACAATCATGATGGTATATTTTATAGAGACTTAGTTTTAATAATTGTAACATCAAAAGCAGGAAATTAAAATGAAAACACAATATACTAATCAAAGTACAGTTAAATAAGTATGATCAAAATACAGTTAATAAGAATGTATTTTTGACACCTATTTTCAAACTTTACATTGTTAATTATGTAAAAATAGGAAATAATTTCAGAATTCTTACAATTGCATCTATATTTTTGTCTGAAAAATTTATATGAGTTATTTTCTTCAGGTATTGTGAAGTGGTTTCTTCTTTTCGGGGTTTAAGATTGCTATTTTTGGCAATTAGATCCAAGGTTAGTCGAACCATGATTTCTCTCTAAATCAAACTCTAGCAGTAGCTCGGTTCTAATACCGTGTCAAAAGTAGGTTTAGGCATTGTTTTATGCCCAACTTTCTAAAAATAAAAGAAAAAAAGGAATATTATGTACATGGTAATTTAGGAAAAATTATTTTGACTTTTTAATTTTCTTACATAAAACTATGCGATAAGCTACTTCAGAGACATTTTTAAAGGCACTTAGGTATTTTCTAAGTTTATAGACTTAATTCTTTTTATAAAAAGATATAAAACATCAAAATTAATTAAATATGCAATGTTCATTCACTTCTACTTTTAAATCTTTTCCTCTCCTTAGTACTGAGTTGTTACTGTTGGCATCTTTTAAAGGATTTTTTTTTCCTCTCAAGAAATATCATCTGATGTTTTCATGTGAAGACACTAAGGCCCAGAGATTTGTCCCAAACTACTTAAGGTAGGGGTAGTTGGGAATGAGACCAGGTCTTCTGGCTCCTTTTTTCATAGTACCCATGGTGATGATATTTTCTAAACCCTCAAAACAGAACACATTGTGGAAAAACCTTGAGTATGTACATAGGACAAGGGTGCAAAATACTTGAAAGTGGAGCAGGCTTTGAAATTTTATGTTACTACAACTGTAATCCACAAAGAGGCAACATAAGGCAGTGTTTTTGAGTCCAGACTGCCTGGGTTCAGATTTTGGCTCCATTGCCCCCTGATTAGGCAATCTTGGGCAGGGTACATCAGTTTCTTTTTTTTCCCCATGTACCCCCATTCACAGTACAGACCAGGCAAAGGGCCTGGGCTGAGGTGTATTTGGTGGATTTACTCTGCTTTCTCTTTCCGTACGGTCCATGTAAGAACACAGCCTGTGGTAAGCACCAGGACGGTACGTTACCTCTGTTTCTTATACAGTTAGGTTAATAATGATACCTACTTCCAAGGGATATTGTGAAGATTACATAAGATAATCATGTATAGAATATTCTGCATGGTGCCTGGTACACAGGTCAATAAATGTTTGCTATCACCAATCATTATTTTATTGTTTTGTTCACAGATAAGGTGAATACTATTTACTTCACTGTTTCACCTGGAATACATTAGGGCTATTAAATAAGGGGAACATACTATTAATTAAATTAATTAATTAATAAAATATTGCTTTATGTAAGAGATCCATATGTGGTCCATAAGTTTAAAGTAACCCATTTTTTTTCAATCATCCAGAAAGTATAGCTATTTAAGTGATAAACATCCCAGTTTTGTAAAACGTACTGTATTTTTAAAGTTTAGTTTAAAATTAAGCATTATTTTCATGTATCTGGAATTTCACCAACCAAACACCTCAATTTGCATCATATTCTGGACATGGAATCAGTGCTTCTGAAGAAAAATGAATTTAGTAGAAGATGGATTCCAATTTGTATTCTCATACAATGACATATAACTACCCAGGCTATATTATATAAAATGCCCACAATAAAATATTCAAAGATATGGCCTGTATCCTTATATACTCCAGAATGCAAAATTAATCTTTGTAGATTTTTGAAATTTGCATGAATTCATTTTATAACAAAAATTTAAGATTACTTATAGATCAAATTTCAAACATGACAATAATATTCTGAACAAAGTTTCTAATTAAGTAAAAAAACCTTTTCTTAATATTGCCTTAAAAATATTTCATGATGGGGGTGCCTGGATGGCTCAGTCATTAAGCCTCTGCCTTCGGCTCAGGTCATGATCCCAGGGTCCTGGAATTGAGCCCCGCATTGGGCTCCTTGCTCCACGGGAAGCCTGCTTCTTCTCCCTCTCCCACTCTCCCTGCTTGTATTCCCTCTCTGGCTGTCTCTCTGTCAAATAAATAAATAATTTAAAAAAATCTTAAAAAAAAATTTCATGATGAAAGTGTAAAGAATAACACCACACTCATGGATCTACAAACCACCTTAAAATATAAAACATTATAAATACATTTGGAACCCTTCTATACCTTTCTCCCTATTCTTTTATTTTTAGAGTTTAGAGTTAGATGTCTCTTATTTTTAGAGTTTAGAGTTAGATTCATGTCTTTATACTTTTACTACAGGTGCATGTATACCTAAACAATATATAGTACTTTTTAAAATATATTTTTACAGTCATAAATGGTACTATTCTGGTTCCAGCTTTTTTACTTAATGTTTTGTTTGTGAGAATCATCAGAGTTTATATGTATAGCTCTAGAATATTTGTATTGGGCGTAACATTCTATTGTAAGGAATTTATTTCTTGTGATGATAGATCTTTGGGTGTTGTTTTTTTCTTCTTTTGCAATGTTGCTTTCATGATCCTTATATACGTGTCATTTTTAGCACATGTGCAAGAATTTCTTTAGGGTTCAAAACTGGGAGTGCTATTTCTGGGCTGCACATTTTCAGCTTTACTATTAATTGCCAAATTGTTCTCCAAAGGAGTTTTACCAGTGCAGTTAAGAGAGTTCTTACTGGGGCGCCTGGGTGGCTCAGTCGTTAAGCATCTGCCTTCAGCTCAGGTCATGATCCCAGGGTCCTGGGATCAAGCCCCATGACGGGCTCCCTGTTCGGCAGGGAGCCTGCTTCTCCCTCTCCCACTCCCCCTGCTTGTGTTCCCGCTCTCGCTGTCTCTTTCTGTCAAATAAATAAAATCTTTAAAGAAAAAAAAGTTCTTACTGCTTTACAATGCAGTCTATACCAGTGTCAGCACTTTATAATGGCTGTCTTTTTGCCAATCTGATGGGTGTGAAGTGATATCTCATTATTTCTGTTTTTCCTCAGATCTTTTTATATGTAAAAATAAAACAAAAAAGAGATTTGAAAACAGCCAGATCAGTAGTCTTATCTCCTCCTTGTGTTTTAATTTGCATTCTGTAATTACTAGAGATTGAGGGTCTTTTCCTTTTTATTGCCATGTGGAGTTCCTTTTCTGTTAATTGTGGTTTCTTATATTTTGCCCATTTTTGCTTATGGGTTGTGTTTTTATAAGTAATTTTTAGATACACTGTATTTTTATCAGATACCAATATTTCATTGATTATATATTTAGCAAATATCTATTCCCCGATTAGTTTGTCTTTTCTCCTTTTTTTTTCCAGTTTGTGTTTAATGGCATCTTCTAAAAAACGGAAGCTACATATATATATTTTTAAAGATTTTATTTATTTATTTTAACAGAGAGAAAGCACAAGTAGAGAGGCAGGCAGAGGGAGAGGGAGAAGCAGGCTCCCCGCCGAGCAGGGAGCCCAATGGGGGGACTCGATCCCAGAACCCTGGGATCATGACCTGAGCTGAAGGCAGCTGCTTAACTGACTGAGCCACCCAGGCGCCCCTGGAAGCTATATATTTTTAATGTGGTCAAATGTATCATTTTTTTTGCTTATGTTTTATGTTTTTTGTGGCTTATTTAGTAACTCCTTCCCTATCCACATTTTAAGAGAAAGACCTTTTTTTTCTTTTTCTTGTAGACATGTTTAGGTTTTGCTTTGCACACTTTGTCTGCATTGCTGTGATCTGAAGCAGCAATCAGTGGTCAGAGGACAGATCCTTGATATTTGGTAGCTAGTGTGCGTTTTGCCCATTTTGGCTTCTGCAAGCTGTGTGTATAAGGTGCTCCAGAAACCCCTGCGTAGCTTTCTGCTCTGGGGTCGGGTGTAGGCGATGAATAGTTGCTCTAGAGCTGAAACTGACCAAAATTCATTGAGGTTTATTGTCTAAGTCTTTCCCTGGAAGTTGTTAGCCTTCAGTAGACTCCAGGTTCTAACGTATTTACACTGATTCTGTCAGTGCAGTTATTGTGTAGGTGGGGAAACAGATGCTTCCTACTCTGGCATATTCCCAGAATCCTCTCAACTCTTTCATATACATTTTATTATTTTTTATTTTATTATATTATGTTAATCACCATACAGTACATCATTAGTTTCTGATGTAGTGTTCCATGATTCATTGTTTGCATATAACACCCAGTGCTCCATTCAGTACGTGCCGTCTTTAATACCCATCACCAGGCTAACCCATCCCCCCACAACCCTCCCCTCTAGAACCCTCAGTTTGTTTCTCAGAGTCCATAGTCTCTCATGGTTCATCTCCCCCTCCAATTTCCCCCCCTTCATTCTTCCCTTCCTACTATCGTCTTCTTTTTTTTTTTTAAACATATAATGTATTATTTGTTTCAGAGGTACAGGTTTGTGATACAACAGTCTTACACATACATTTTAAAATTAACTTGTCATGTTCCATGAAAAATCCTGTCAGGATTTTGTTCGGAATTGCACTGAATTTATAAACAATTTGTGAAGCACCAACACATCTCTAAAATTGAGTCTTCTTTTCCATCACTATGGTATGTCTCTCTATTTTAGGAGTGCTTCTTTAATGATTTTCAATAGTTTTATAGTTTTCTTGTAATTAAGGCCATGCAAAATTTTTTTGGTCATTTTCAGGAATCATATATCTTTGTTGATACTGCAAGTGACATTTTTTAGGAATTACATTCACTGGAGCTAGTGTGTAGAAATGCAATATATTAAAAAATATTTGGGGGCACCTGGGTGGCTCAGTCGTTAAGCGTCTGCCTTTGGCTCAGGTCATGATCCCAGGGTCCTGGGATCGAGCCCCGCATCGGGCTCCCTGCTCCGCGGGAAGCCTGCTTCTCCCTCTCCCACCCCCCCTGCTCGTGTTCCCTCTCTCGCTGTGTCTCTCTCTGTCAAATAAATAAATAAAATCTTTAAAAAATAAAAATAAAAAATATTTGAGATATTTAAAATATTTTTAAAATATGATTTCTTTACTATTTTAAAATTTTAGAACTTTTTCTGGAAATTTCAGATATCATTTTTACACTGATAACTGGTGAAAATGCACATCTTAAAGTGGTTATATACCTCAGGATTTCTTTCTTACAGTGGAGGCAGGTAACTGCTGTACAGGTGGCCATGCACGAGCAAACCTGTGTTATGAAGGGGGTGATGCCCTGTGGGGGTGATT